CATCATCATCGCTGATTCTAACCTCCAAGAGACTAACTCATTGCGCCTTTTCGGGCAAACGTTTTCAGCTGGCATGAAGTGGAAAAATCATACTATATCAATTGCTTAGTCTGCATGGTTTGGTGTATTGATTTTTTTCACAAGTTGAAAGCTTATGGGATTTATGAACGAATTTTTCAACTGCTTCCGTCTTTCTTATCAAATCCCGATATGAAAGTCCTCTTGAACGGCCACTCTTCTAGATCTTTTTGCATAAATTTCAGGTGTCTCCCCAGGGCTCTATCTTTGGACCTACTTTGTTCACAATTTTCATCAACAACCTTCCTGATGACATCAGTTCTCAACTTGGTATCTATGCAGATGGAACTATTTACTCCCGTTTAATATGTGACGTCGTCCCCCGGTCGCAGCGCCAACTGTGACGTTCTATCCTGATCTACCACGGCGCCAGTTGTGACGTCCCCAAACAGCATCAATTGTGACGTTCTCGCCGCGGCGCCAGCTGTTCGCTCCTCGCTGCTCCGTCCGGGTGTCGCTGCTCCAAACGTGACGTCCGCCTGTCGCGTCAGTCGTGTTGTCTCGTCCTGTGACGACCAACTGGTTTGATATCGGTCGCGGCACCCAAATGTGACGTTCTAACCTTTTGGTGATTCAGGTGGGAATCTGGTTAGATTTGATATCAGCCTCGTCGTTCCCAACTCGCTTCAACGCCTGGTTACCAAAGGTAACTGCATCGATCTCCAGTCTGCCTACCCACGTTGTGAATTGATCTTAGACAGACGAGATCAAACAGTGGTTGGGGCCGTAATGCAAATTGAGTTCAACGGGGGTGATACTACAAATATACATAAAAAAAATAAAATGAAAACTCAAAAAAGTTCAAAGTATCAAAGAAAAAGGTAACAAACTTTATGTCTGGTTGTTCGATACATAGGACTGCATCTATCTCCCGACCCGTTCTATGGCTTGTGACACGTCGTTTTCCGTTAGGCAAGTTTTAACGCTTCAAGTTGTTTGCTCTCTAAGAAATTGGTGTTTCGGTGTGGCTTTGGACAAAAGTCGAAAAACTTATTTCGGTGGCCTGGTTCTAAGTCGCTCTTCAAAATAATTGTTCTTGGGTTGAAGAGGAGTCCGGAATTTTTGCGTGAATCTTGGTCAGCTATCTGCGAGGCGGTTTCAACTGGAGACTGAATCTGGGAACTCAACTCTGGAAACTCGAGCCCGAACTGATTTCTGCCTGTTGGGGCCTCGATTTTTATTTGACGCCGACCAAAACCGGGGTGGTTCTGTTGGCGCCGGGGGGTTTCTCGATAATTCTAAATACATATCCACCTCTTTTATTTATGGTTGGGATTTTTCACTCTTTTTCCATTTTGGGAACTCTTCCTCACTCCACTTTCTCACCATACCTCTGAGGGGGGCGTGAACTGCCCTCCCACTTCTTCGTAGCAGCTTCTCATACTTATACTCTGGATGGGCGTCGACAGCCTTCTTCGTGCGTCACGTGATCCTCTCGGCCAATGAGGTCTTGGTCGGGTATCTTTCCTCCTCCTTCGTGCGTCACGTGATCACCACTTGACCAATGATGTCTTAGTCGGGCGTGAACAATCCGTGGCTTTGATTCGGGAAAAAAAATATCTTGCTTTAACTAAAAAAAATTATCTCTTCTCTTTCCTTTTCTTCCTTTCAATCGCCGTTATCATCCCCTTCTAGTCGCAACGGACAATATGACAACTCTTGTTTTACACGTGGTGTTTGTCAGGTATTTTATCGCTAATTTATCAAGATGGGTGGTATTCTTAACATGGCTTCAAAAAAGAAATATCCCCAAAGTTTTCAGTCAGTCTGTCGCCTCCAAGGAAGAAAGAAAAAACACTTCTGGGTCCCCATTCATTTTCCTTCGGTACATATTCCTGATAACATAATTTTATTATCGCAGGCCAAAGTTGTTTCGTCGAAAAGAATTCGGTCAGCGAGACTGCTTGTGTGGGATTTAATTTTTCATATCTGTCCAAAGTCCTTTTTAGTGGCCTGTTTCTCGTCACTTATCGAAATAGCATTTTCACTAGATTTTTTCCCTGGCCAGTGGTCCAGCCTAAATAACACAGCCGTTATCAAAACACATCTGATTCCTTCTTTCTTTCCCTTTCTTTTTTACTCAGAAATTCCCTGTCATTGTAATGACACCCTTTTTCATTTTTTACTTATCAATATTTTCATTGTCTCTTAGCCGTGTGTGTGTGTGGCTGCTTATCACCTACGATTCGTCTCGCCTTTCTTTCTGCCTTCCTTTCTTTCTCTTCCTTTCTCTGCCTCGTAAATGGTGCCACAAATAGTAAGTCTGATTGGCAGCTGATCTAAAACATGATCTCCATTCCGAATAACAAATGAATGACAATGAATGACAAATGTTTCCTTGTAGGGAAACAGTTAATTATCCCTTACTTCTCGCTTTGTTTTAGTACCTTGTGTAGGGGGTCCTGTTGTTTTCCGCCCTCAACACACTGCAGCATATTTGTATACTGATGTCTTTGCCAAATATATCACAACTATTTACTCCTGTTTTATTAAAACAGTCTGAACGGTCTGAGAAGGTCAAATTGGCAGCTGATCTAAAAAAATGGCCTCCATTCTGTCGTTAACTGCAGCAAAGAATGGCTTGTTAATTCTAACTCCACCAAAACGAAACTGTTCTCTATTAATCGTATGAGAGAACTCTTTCTACTTCCGATCGATATAGCTTGTGTTAGTCTCCAGGAGAGCGACTCATTGCGCTTTCTCGTGCTCGTGTTTTGAACTGATATAAAGTGGAAGGATTATATCGAATCGATTGCTAGATCTACTGCCAGGAAAGTTGGTTCACTGTGTCAGCTATACAATTTTTTTTTCTCACTAGAATCTATCTTACATATTTACAAGTCTACCATTTATCCATACTTTGAATATTGTTGCCACATATGGTCGGGTGCTCCTGCTATATCTTTAAAGTTCCTTGATAAAATCCAAAGAAAAAATTACAGTGTTATTGGTTATGACTTGTCATCTCGACTCCTATCGCTTTCCCACCACCGTAATATAGATTTCGCTGTGCCTTTATTACAGATACTTTCATGATTAATATGCTGGCTTGTAACTCCCAATATCTCCAGATCCAAGATGGTAATGTTACATCATCACAGAGCTAACACAGATATTTCTTCAGTTATGATGAACGATTGTAATCTCCATGAAGCTCATTGTACGAAACGGCTATTGAGACTCAAGCTCCCACCAGACTTCAAGTGGAATTCCTTCATACAGAACAAACCTGACTCCTCCTGTCCGTACTCTATCTTTACAAGAGCCAGATCCGACATCTGTTGTTCATGATGACGGTCGTCTTCGAGTATAGAATCCAGAGGTTAGCAGTGAATATTTCGAAGACAGTAGGAAAGCGTTGTTCAGGTTAGCAGTGGATATTTTGGTAAAAGTAGCAGAGCATAGTTCGTCCTTCTGTTTCTCTTCGCCTGACAAGCTGGAACTGGACATTCGGGTAGAGTAGACAAAATGGCCGCCTTTATACACGACGGATTGAATATTCTACGTCTTCTGATTGGTTAACCTTCTATTGGTGGACTATAAAGTGAGTCAAGTCATTTGGGCTAACTCACTAGTACATAATGTATCCAAAAATTGTAACAACATCTGGGCTCAATAATCCCTTTCCAGTCTCGGCAATGATCAAAGACGTTCTGCGGCCGTGCCGGTGACAAATTGTTTCCCACCCTACAACCACTTCCCAACAGACAAAACGTTGCCAAACTTTCGCTACGCAATCGCATGGTCGAGCGAACTACATTCCTTAATTCTACTAGTCCTGACACACAGTTGCCAGGAACCGCCATGACACATACACTGAGTCGTATCATCCTCATCCCCTTGATATTCCATTGATAAGGAAGATGTTCCACTCAGACAGCGTCCTCCCTAGAATGACTGTAGAACGGACTCCCGAGAAGTCATGAGTAAACTGTTATATATCCGACATATGCTCTTTGCATGCCCTTATAACAACCAAGTTTAGTAACTCTCTAATTCATGTTGCTCTTCGTCCTTGTATTGAATGAACAATAACAAAAAATATCAGAGATAAAAGCTCAACCTGAACTGTTACCATGAAAATATTTGTAGAAAAGACAGGGGGAAGCCACGTCACGTCAGTGAGAAAGTGTCTGGTGTCGAGATGCCAGGTCAGGACCGTTTACATTGCAGATACCTCTTTGGATTTTGTCAAGAATCTCGTGATAAATTTTTACCAGACCTGATATGGCAACATTATTCAATGCAAGGACAAATAGATTTATAGATACGTAAGATGGATTCAAACGAGAAAAACCTTCATCATTTCGAACGCAGATTTTCAAGGCAAACACACCATGCAGCTTACGGGTTGAAAAGGAATCGATACCGCTTCAGCCACCAGGTACATAATGTATGTGCAGGTGTAATCATCATTTCTGTTGTTTATATTTGTATGTTAATGATTTTTTTTGTATGTACACGTGCAGAGGGAAAGGGGAAGTAATCTACATTTATATATATATATATATATATATATATATATATATATATATATATATATTTGTTTCCCATCTCCGCCAGGAGGAGGTGACAGGGCTTTTTGTGTACAGAAAAAGTGGGGATTAAACTGCTGGGAGGAGCAAGTCAAAGGTGAATTGACCCAAAAGAAGTAAATCCCAAAGACAAACTGAGCCCCGGCACGTCAGGCTGGTGTTTGCATACCTACGTATAAATGTAGATACGGAATTACTGCTAGCGCACACACATACACCGGTGCGTACATGTACATATACAGACATACACGTATGCACAAAGATAACAAATGTACCTAGCAAAATATCTACACACGAAAAAACGGATATCACAGACACGTTCACAGAACACAATGACACACATACAAACATATCTGCTTAGATAGATATATATTAACAAATTAGATATTAACAAAATGAGATAGTTTGATAGATAGAAACAGAATGCGATAGATAGATAGATAGATAGATAGATAGATAGATAGATAGATAGATATACATAAACGGAATGAGATAGAGAGATATACATAAACGGAATGAGATAGATATTAATAGAACGATATATATATATAAATAGGAATAAGATGGCTTCTTCCATAATATTAACGGGATGAGATAGATATTAAAACATTTAATATGTATATATTATATAGAACGATATATATGAGATAGATAAACGGAATGAGATAGATAGATAGATAGATAGATAGATAGATAGATAACAGAATGAGATAGATAGGATAGATAGATAATGAGGATAAATAGATATTAACAATTTCTGTGATAGATTATATAGTAGATAGATATTAACGAAATAGATAGATATACGGAATATACAGATGATAGATATAGATATATAGATATAGATAGAGAATGAGATAGATAGATAGATAGATATTAAGAGAATAGATAGATAAGAAAACTTGATAGATAAATAAACAGATAGATATGAACAGAGAGGAGATAGATAGATAGATAGATAGATAGATAGATATTAATGGAATGAGATATATATAAACGGAATGAGACAAACAGACAGACAGATAGATAGATAGATAGATAGATAGATAGATAGATATTAATGAATGAGATAGATAGATGATTGATAGATAGATAGATAGATAGATATGATAGATAAATAAACAGATAGATATGAACAGACTCTGTGATAGATAGATAGATAGATAGATAGATAGATAGATAGATAGATATTAACGGAATGAGATAGATATAAACGGAATGAGACAGACAGACAGACAGATAGATGAGATAGATATTAACGGAGATAGAGAATGAGACAGACAGACAGATAGATAGATAGATAGATAGATAGATAGATAGATAGATATTAACAGAATGAGATTCCACACTAAAGATGTGAAAGACTAACAAATGTCAGAAAAGAGTGATATACGGGTTATCAACGGACTTGGTATTGACTCACTTTAAAAAATGTGACCAGTAACAGTTCCTTTTAAAGGGCTTCTTGGTTGGTTGACAGGATGTGTGGATGGTGTAATGGATAGCGGATCTGAATCAGAACTTGAAGAACCGAGTTGCAATTCGACCTGACTTTGTTACATTCATTTACGCGCAAATCTCTTCTCCTGCTAGATATGGGTTAAACAGTTAGAAAAATTATTGTTATCTCTCTACACACAAACAATATAAATGCAATATTCCTTCCCCCCGCAAAAAAAAATGTTCCGGCTTTAAATAACCCATGAATGGTTGATGAACCCTCAAAAATATCAAATCAGTCAATCCTGACTGAGGGTTTTCAGCATCCTTTCGTATATATGCATAATGATCCATATATACGAGTGGTAAGTAAGTAAATATTAAATGTACTAGTAAATACAATTAGATATGTTCGTCTATCGTATGGTTCACAGCTCTTTTTCTTGAACAGGAGTAGAGTTTTATCCCTTGTTCCATGAATAGGATTGGGTTTCCGGTTCCTTCTGAAAATAATGAATTCTCTTTCACTCTCGGTAGCCCCTTGCGTTGTCGTGGCATTATCGCCTTGCTTGGGGTGAATAGATTAATATACATATATACTTAACTGTTCTACACGAATACACGAACTTGGGTATACCATTACGCATTTACACGGGGTTTGACATGAAATATAATAAATGGCATGAAATGAAATGCTATGAAGTTCGATGGCGTCGTGGGAAGCGAAGATATTAAAAATACAATTCTGGGTGGACAGACGCGCAGAAGTCTGGCCATTTAAATGTAAATGTGTTGTGTGTATGTGTGTGGGTGCGTGCCTGTGTTTGTGGGTGTGTTTTTGGACCTGTTTTGGGTGCACAGGAGCTTCTATTGATTATTCATTCTTATGTGTATTTTTATGTAGTTTCTTATCTGTTTTTGTTATCTCTTATTTCGCTTGACACGCACGGAATTGACATAGGTGGTGAGGGCCATAAACTGTTTAAAACTCTTATTGAATAAAAGGATGAAATCCTTGTATTCAGTATGATACAAAATAAAAATGTCATCAATATTTGCCCGTACTGACTCTGCGGTACCAAGAGTACAAACACACACGCAATAGATAGATAGATAGATAGATAGATAGATAGATAGATAGATAGATAGATAGATGAAGAAATATAGCCTTAAGGTGTGCTATATTTATGGGTTAAAGTGCTCAATATCAGAGATAGAGCGTGTGTAAATATAAAAGTGAACATTGAAGTCAATACTTAGAGGCGACAGGCTGTTTCATGCTAGACGCACTCGTCAGTCCTTTTTATATAAATAATTATATTTTACTCTACTCTGTATTGAGCACTCTTTTAAGAATAGTAATTGTTGGTTATTGGAATTTATTTCGTATACACCTATCATATATATATATATATAGATATATATATATATATATAGAGAGAGAGATACAGATATATATATATGAAGAAATATAGCCTTAAGGTGTACTATATTTATGGGTTAAAGTGCTCAGAGCTAGAGCGTGTGTAAATATAAAAGAGACGTGCCGTAATTGTGTATTTCGCACAATAAATATCAATATGCTGTCAAAGTAGTTCACCACTAGCAGTGGTTTACCTACTTCATGTCGCTGGCGAGTATTGTATTTTGATGATGTTATAAAGATTACCATTTCCATTTCCAACTTCAGTTTTGGTTATTCCTCATTCAGTTACATTTTCCAGATTACAACAAAGAGTAAGGGAAAAAGAAAAAGAAAGAGAAAAGGAGCAGAAGAAGAAGGAGGAGGAGGAGGAGTATGGGAAGAAGAAGAAGAAGTAGTAGTAGTAAGGGAAGAAGGAGGAGGAAGATTGTTATACACTCTACCTATGAACACTAATGGGTATGTCTCAGTCCTCATAAATAAATTGAACTCTATTGTAAGTGGGGTTAATATGCCGTCAAAGTTGTTCACCACTAGCAGTGGTTTACCTATTTCATGCCGCTGGCGAGTATTTCTGTTGATGTTATAAAGACTACCAATTTCATTTCCAACGTCCATTTTGGTTATTCCTCATTCAGTAACATTTTCTAGATTACAACAGTTATACATAGAACCAAATTCAACAACAACTTTTATCTAAAGAATGCCACAATCATTAAAAACAGACATTAATTTAGTTAAATGGAAAAATCTTGAGAGTGACGCTATCAAATATTATCAGAACATAAATCTGCGCTCCAGATTTTTTAAAAAAATTTCTCCCTTCCTGAAAGAATTACTCCTTCTCCCCAGCCAACAGACACGGCTATAAAAATGTTAAAAAATTAAAAGAAAAAGATTTAATACATAACCTGGTGTTATTTAAAATATATAAGACATAAATTCATCCCAAATAAGGTAAATTCTAATTCACATTAAAAATATAAATTCAAGGACAGCATTTACTAACTTTCGTTTCTTGCACATTGAATTGTGTCACTTGGCGTTTTCCAGAGTTTGCCTTAAAATTTCGGCTATCCTGATGACTATTTATGTGTGTTCTTACATTTAAAAATTTTGAAAAACCAATAACATTTTTGCTCTTGTATATGAATATTTGTTACAAAATAAAATCCTTGCATTTACCTTGGTAAAGTCCTTCAGAGAGCAAAACGCGTCGGCTAAGATAATTTTTCCTTTTTTCTTTATTCATATTGTCCTTTTACAGATATACTTTATCTGAAATTTTATACACACACACACACACACACACACACACATATATATATATATATATATATATATATATATAAATTTCATTGAATACGAAAGACAAGGTGCTTTTATTTAGTTTTTTATACAATTTCTCATGCGATCTAATTTTTTTTCTTTTCGAATGGTAAATTATATAAAAACTGTCCGAGCGCTTTCGGTGGCTATACATTTAGCCATTTTCAAGGATTAAATATTTTAACTGTTAAATAAGAAATAATTATATAGATATAAGTAAATATTTATATAGGCCAAACTACAACATGTTTTACGCCCAGATTCACTCCACACCTTTCTGACCAGAGGTCAATGAGATCTCATTTAAATATTCATGGAAACCTACCGGACACTATTCGTAACATAATTGTTGACAACACTAATATAATAGCATCATCTACGTACAAAAAAAAGCCTAAAAATAATGGAAGCCTTATTAATAAAAACAAAAAAAACAACATTTAATAATATTAACTTTGAACATGGACATAATATCTTGACCGTGTTTTGAAATGTGAAAATATTTTATTAAACATATATACAACAAACTATTTCGTATTTAACAGTTGAAATATTAAATCCTTGAAAAATGCTTAATGTATAGCCGAAAGCGCTCGGATGAAAAGAACATTTGGACAGTTTTTATATAATTTATTATCCGAAAAGAAAAAAAAATTATTAGATCGCATGAGAAATTGTATAAAAAAACTAAATAAAAGCACCTCGTCTGGCGTATTCAGTGAAATGTGCATGAAAGAAGGATTGCTGCCTAAACACACACACACACACACACACACACACACACACACACACACATATATATATATATATATATATATATATATATATATATATATATATATATATAAGCATGTATTGTTAAATATAACAGACAATGAATGTTTGATCATGAGCCGTTCTAATGTTTGTATATTTGCCTTAATTTCGGATGAAAATAAAAAAAAAATTGTCCAGCATTTGGATGTATTTTTATTAAGCTCTTCCTTGATCTAATGTTTCGACTCACATGAGCCATCTTCAGAGTGGTTATGCGGAAACTTAAACCAAAATATTCACCATCAAAGATGATATTCTGTTATGCTGACATAGAAGATTGCTATGCGACGATAACGGTCAGGGAATAGCAGACGCAGATCGTTAATTCATGATGCAGTTCTATGAAGTCGTACCACGTGAGAGAACGAAATATTTACAACAGAACCATATGTATTGATGCAATGTAATGTGTTGTGACTAGTTTGAAATGTAATTTTGTTGAGTGTGGGTTGCTTTGTTTTAATGTAGATGGCCTCCAATATCTGGAGGTTATTTTTTACTGTGAGTATGTCTGAGTATTGTTGTGTTATCAACTAATATCCGTCTATCTAATATTATGCACATTGCTATGCTTTTCTAAGAAATGTTGTTTAACAGAACTATCAGAAAGGTCACAGGTAAGTCTACGGTAGAGCGAGGTTGTTGTAAAACATATATATATATATATATATATATTATGCAGATAAAAACGGCAAGACGATCTTTACCATTCATGATTAAATAAAAATTGACCAGCCGACTGGTTTCGCCCTCACTCAACAGAACTGAAATCGAGGTGAGACTAAATATTACAAGAAGCATGGGATGAAATAAAGGTGGAAAGATTAGAGATGGAAATAATGTCAAGCCCTAACAGGCATTCCCTCTGTTTACAGAGGGAGGGCTACCCGGACCTGACATAGATTGTTTCCAATACCTTTAAATGTAACACAGAATGAGCATGACTAGGGATGGAAAATGAATCAATGCTGAAATTTTGTGGCACAACTTGGATTGTTTATAAGGTGCTCAGCAATGGCGGAGCCGTATGGGTTCTTGATCTTGTCACCAGTTTGGAACGTACCATTCCTAATTTTTCCGGGGACGTGCTGATTAATCCGTGCGTCTAACTGTAAGGTAGTCCTATCTATGTAGTCGGCTCCGCAACTACATCCAAATCAGTATATCACATTATTAATATGGTGTGGGGGTGGATGGGCAGAACGTCCTTTCCAGCAGATACGCCAATGTGAGTGTGGTTTTCTCTAACAGGCCACCTTGGGTGTCTGTTCATTTTCCGTCCTTATTCAAGCTTATTCTGTATTACATTTAAAGGTATTGGAACCGATCTATGTCAGGTCCGGGCAGCCCTCCCTCTGTAAACAGAGGGAATGTCTGCTAGGGCTTGACATTATTTCCATAAGATTTTTACAACTTTATTTCATCACATGCTTCTCATGTTTTTTATTTTATATTGTAATATTTCCCTCGATTTCAGCTCTGTTGAGTGAGGTTGAAACCGGTCGACTGGTCATTTTTTTTTTCTTAATCATGAATGGTAAAGCTCGTCTTTATTTCCATAATAAAATTTTGTACCCCTAAGAAAATAATGATATATATATATATATATAATTGAGTCTGGGAAACAATCGGTCTTTTATAAAAATTTCTTTTATAAAAGTTTACTTCTTTCTAACCCTTTTTTTAAGTGCACACGAACTTTATGGACACCCTGTATATCCTAGCGCTTTTGGTTATTCTATTAGCCATTATCAAGGATGTTTTTTTTATTATTTTTAACTGTATATGTACATTTTTATATATGTGTATCTAAAGTGACAGGAGTCTTTTCTTTTATTCTACAAACATGGTCAGGACGCTGTGGCCGTGTTCACAGTTGATATTATGGACATTTCTTTTTTCCTTTTTTATCATTTGTGCTTCCATTATGTTTTAGACGTTTTATACACGAGGATGAGGCTGTTATGGAAGTATGTTGCGGACAGAGTTTTGTAGGGTTCCCCGTGTGTTTAAATGGGTAACTAATTGAACTATGATCTGAGAGATGTAATGTGAGTCTTCGTGATAAGCATATTGTGGTGTGCCCAATATAATCATTCATGTATTTCGTTTGATCAGTAAGGCAGTTCATTAATGGGCATGCAAATTCATAGATAATACTGGTCCGCTGTAATTTGAAACGTGCAGGTGAGTTGTTGTCTGCGTTGACAATGAGATTAGCTGTTTTAGTCTTTTATAATATATAATTAATTTAATTTTGTTTTTCGGGTCAACTGAGGTTGTAATATTTCTAAGGTATATATATATATATATATATATATATATATTATTTTTCTTAGAAGAGATTGTAATAATAACATGTTGAAATAGCTACACAAAAGTTTCATATTTCAATACATTCATTGTACTTCTTCAGGCGACTGGTGATTAAAAGAATTTTAAGAAAATTAAAAAAACAAAACGTTACCTCTTTTCTGAAAGTTAAAGTTTTCTGTGTGTATGTCTTGACAAACTAATTAAATGTCAGATCTGCGCTATATAGAAAAGTCAACTCAGACGGTGGAAGTCGGTGAGTTATTATTTTATGTCATGATAAACCGGAACATAGACAGGCCATCATTGAAAATTGCGGAAATTATGTAAGTGAGAAATGTATCGTGATAATAGATTTTATTTTGGAGAAATATTATATATATATATATATATATATATATATGTGTGTGTGTGTGTGTGTGTGTGTGTGTGTGGTAGAAACAACACACACACACATATATATATATATATTAAGACATTTTATGTTTATACATTCTTTTATGGATACAAATATTTAAGTAAATTCTCTGTTTATAATAAACAGTATTAAACAGCATTTACCGGCCTGAATGTCCGAGAAATTTTCATATAAAATATTCGTCCTCCATTCTGTGAAAATTTCTGGGACATTTAGTCCGGTAAATGCTGTTTAATACTGTTTATTATAAAACAGAGCATTTACTTAAATATTTGTATCTATAAAAAGAATGTATAAACATAAAAATGTCTTAAAATAATTGTCAGACTTTGTCCATTTCATAATGTGGGACGTCATTTGTTTACATTTAGATACGCTTTGAGCAGATATGAATGTACGTAAGAGAATCATGGAAGATTGTAGTTTAAAGACAGTAAAATCGACCTTGCTAACCGAACCAATCGGTTAAAGGCACGTCAGGCTATATGACGGTTCCGTGTAGGATACAGGTTCGATTCCTGTCGGAGGGCGAATATTTTCTATGAAAATTTCTCGGACATTCAGGCCGGTAAATGCTGTTTAATACTGTTTATTATAAACAGAGCATTTACTTAAATATTTGTATCTATAAAAAGAATGTATAAACATAAAAAATGTCTTAAAATAATTGTCGGACTTTGTCCATTTGATAATATATATATATATATATATATATATATATATATATATATCACGATTTCGAACCCCGTAAAATTGTTAGGGCAAAAGATCTAAGACACACCACTTCTACAGCGGTTGCAGTACATAGCCTGCCGCTGACCTTCCTCTCCATGCTGGTTTGAATTCAGGGTTTTCTTTCTCCTAGACTGGCTACCAATATATATATATATATATATATATATATATATAGATAGATAGATAGATAGATAGATATACTTTAAAAATTAGGAGATCAGTTGATTCCGTTAACTTGTTTTCAACCTTGAATTGGACCAGAAAACAAGTCTGACGATAAACTACATCCGGCAGCAAGGCCTCTGATCTAGAGACTAGAGTTTTTGAGGAGTTTCGAACCATCTCTTAATTGTTGTTGTTCCTAGTTTCACCCTAACCTGAGGTGGTAACACCTGTTAGGGTCCCAGTTATGGGCAGATAGTGAACTCCCAATCAAAAACAAGACACTATGAAAGTCTCCAGCATTTTTATATAAAAAAATACCAACGATACGTTTTTTTTCAAAATACCAACAATCCATTTTATTGACAAATGACCAACAATCCATTTTATTGACAAATGACCAACAATACATTTTATAGTAAAATGACCAACAATATATTTTATATTAGATATAGTAGACTTATCAACAATACATTTTTACATTATTCGGATTATTGTTCTCATCTTTGTCGCCATATTTATCACAACGTTTCGGCCGTTGTACGCTCCGGCCTTCTTCAGGTGGTTGGAATGTCGAACTGAACCCTTTATTTCGCTCACCGGGGTAGACTATTCTAGTTCCACGTGCCATGTGTGATGGATGTCAGTTATCAGTTATCTCCTGTTAATTTCCCTCTGAAAGTTCTCCGCTGTCTTAACGGGGTATTGAACTCACACTCTTTGGGTCCTGTCACTGGATCTAACCAACGTCTTTATCCAGTGTGCCATGTGTCCTTGAGGACATCTGGGTATGAATTTCTGTGTATCAGTTCGACATTCCAACCACCTGAAGAAGGCCGGAGCGTACAACGGCCGAAACGTTGTGATAAATATGGCGACAAAGACGAGGACAATAGTCCGAATAATGTAAATAATGTACATAATACCTCATCTCAGAAATATAGACAGATACTGAAGGGCAGAAACGTTGTGATAAATATGGCGACGAAGATGAGGACAATAGTCCGAATAATGTAAATAATGTACATGATACCTCATCTCAGAAATATAGACAGATACTGAAGGGCAGAAACGTTGTGATAAATATGGCGACGAAGATGAGGAAAATAGTCCGAATAATGTAAATAATGTACATAATACCTCATCTCAGAAATATAGACAGAATACATTTTATAGCAGAATGACCAACAATACATTTTATCTGTAGGTATACAATTATGTTCAAAATATATTTAGTTGAAGCCATAAAATTGTGGTCAAAATATTTAGATTTCGGCATTAAATAATCCATAGAGGTGTTGATATGCTGCAAAAAATAATTAACCAACCAATCTTCGAGAACGTGAATTAACGAGAAGGTTTCGTAGGTTATTTAAAAAAAAAAAAACATTGTGTGGTTCCATGCTCCCCTGAGGTGTCCCTATGCCACTTTAAACTAAACTTCGTAGATATCTTCTCTTCCTCACAAACAATGCAGATATATTCAGGTGCTCATCGACCTACGCTTTCGTTTTTTTATTTTATTTTCTTTTATTAGTAAACATCTGCTAGTAGGATAATCACACCACAAAATGGCTGCCTCGTCGAATCTTCGCTACCGACAGCCGTTCCCTTCCCACCTACCCTTTTCTTGCGACGGAGGAAAAAGAAATGCTGGTAATTCATGTATATACCTGGTTATTGAACAACTTAATTAAAACGGTCTCAGTAAACATAGACCATAAAGGCAAAGTCCAATGACAGATGATGCGAGTGTGTGAACCAAGTTTATATGACCCAAACACAATCTACAATCTTTCGAGCGACACACAACACGCATAAATAGGGATCGTGGTTCATATGCCTCACCCGAATCAAGTACGGCCTTGGCGTTGTCCTGAGGGTATACATAGGGTGGAGAAGGGATGGTTGTTATTGGGTTTACTGAGGGTTGCGTACTGGGAGATGTTGACTGGTGTTCGGGAATAATTTGTTAAAAAAAAAAAAAAAAGATGGCTGTGTATTCAAATATCGAGCAAACAAAACCGTTATAATTTTTTTTTTTTATCTTTTCACAACAAGCAAGGCGATAATGTCACTAAGACACCAAAGGTTACTGAGAGTGAAAGAGAACGAGAAGACTTTATAGGTGATAAAGGACAAGAAAAGTCAGGATTAAGGAAAAGAGCAGATGGATATTGACGTTGCATTTAAATTTAAAGATCGTAGGTGACAGAGAAGTAAGAAACAGGAAAGGTCCACAGTTACATATCTATAAATCTACCATTCGTCCATTAGGATATTGCTGCCACATATGGTCTAGTGCCCCTGCTATTTATCTTGAGCTCCTTGATATCACCTAAAGAAGAATCTGCAATAATATTGGTCCTGATCTGGCAGCTCAGCTTCAGTCACTTTCCCACCACCGTAAGCTTACTTCTCTATGACATTTCTATAAATACTTTCATGGCTATTTTTTAAATTGGTGTTTTATTCCCCTCCACCCCCACAAAGAGACAATGAATTGTACATATGGGGACTAGTTAAGATTTTCATAGAGACAATGAGGTATTATGGTGAATGTAGTAAGAAAGGTACGTAAGAATGCGTTGTTTTGGTGTTAGGAATATTGTTTGTATGTTTGGGTCAGTGTTTGTGGCTAGCTAAGTTTAAAATTAAGACAGAAGAAGACAGTTCTTTTCCCCCATTCCCTATTTTGGCATTTGGGCCACATTTTCTGTACATAGCAGAAATAAATATCGCTCGTCACTCATTTTCTATGGTACCTAGAGCTTTTGAATCTAAGAGTAGCACGAGACTGGCGTTGAAATCTCATCAATTTAAAGTTGAGCTGGTTCGATGTAACCGTAAGTTCTATGCTAACAGTGTCTTCTCTCGCACTTTTCGCTTGAGGAACTCCCTTCTGGTTTCATGCTTTCCAGCCAACTTTAATCTGCAAAAATACAATGTCAATCGCTATCCACTGTCCTCCTGATTACTCTCTTCTTACGTTCATCATTATCGTTTCTGTTCCTAATTCTTCCACACTCTGTAACCCCTTGTGTTTTAGTGGAATTACTGCTTTACTTGGGGTAAGTTCGATAAAAAAAAAGGGTAGAGACGTGCGAGTGGAGAAACTATTAGAATAGAACTTACGGTTGCATCTAGCTATTTCACTATTAAAACAATGAGACCTATTGGGTTGGTGCATAATTATCAGGCGTTTGTGTAGGCGAGTTATTTATTAATAAAAATTGCTGTTTTGTTTACTTTTTTTTAAAATAAAAATATTTTCTGTTTATAAAAATGCGTGTCGATAATCACACGCTCCGGAATAATCATTTAAAAATGTTATTGTTGAATTGTTATGTTACTTTTTTCATAATTAAATATTGTTTAAAAACGCCTGATAATTATGCACCAAACCACTATCACTATAAATATCTACTGAACCTAAAGTTGGGTTCAGTAAAAAGTTGGGTAAAGTAAAAAGTTAAGTTGTTCAAAGCTACTACAAAATTAGTCATTTTAAAGCTCTCATTATGACATTATAAGTTATTATCGATATCTCCGCCAAGTTAACGCCATGGGGATCAATGTCGTGTTTCTAAATTTATAGTTCTTATTTTACTGAACAGTATACAGATCAAATGCATCGCAAAAATTTCAATAATTGCAAAAATGTTTGCAAGACGCGCTTTCGGCTATTTCGCTATTAATCTGCAATGTGATCAATCCTGAGTTACTATCTCGGCTTCAGTCACTTTCTCCCCTCCCATCACGTAGCTTCCCTGCACGTTTTCTATAAATATTTTCATGACCATTATTCTGATCATATCTGTTCTTTGCTACGTTGAATTCACGAAATTAAGCGCAGTACTAGATTGGCAGAGAGGTCTCATCATTTTAATGTCGAAATGGATGGATATCATTAAAGTAAGTTATATGCTATCAATTTCTTCTATCGCTCTTCTCGCTTGTGGAACTCTTTTCCAGTTTCTTGCTTTTCTGTCAAATTTGACCTTTAAAAACCTAAATGCAAGGTCATTCGTTATCTCCTGTTTCTTGAAACGTATTCTTTTATTGGCCTTTCTCCTCAGTAACGTTTTCTCACTTTCTTTAACTCTCACTAACCTCTGTGTCTTAGTGGCTTTATCACCTTGCTTGCGATGCAATGACTAAAAAACAAATCGCCCAACACGAGTTGCCAAGTCGTACAATCAACTACCCATTGTTTGTTTTATTTTTGTTTTTTTGTTTGTTTTTTTTTTCTATCTCTAGTGACTTTTCTGATCCTGATTGATTCATTAATCCGTCTTCTATGGTTTATCAAACCTTTGCGTATTATTTAAAGCCAGAAAATATTTTGAGGCGATATTAACGTTTTAATGATACAAGGCTTACTAATTAACCCATAGATGAGGAAGGAAGAAGAGAGTGGATTCATGCCTTTCCTCGACCTGGGTAAGACATTAATCTACATTAGCGTCCTGGCTAAGACGATGAACTACATCCAGCAGCAAGGCCTCTGATCAGGAGGCTTTGAGGAGCGTGGAACCACATCTTAATTGCTGGTGTTCTCAGGTCCACCCTGATCCGGGGTGGTAGCACCTGCTAGGGTCCCAGCTATGGGCAAATAGTTATCTATTACCAGCAATACTTTTTGAAAAAAATATTTCCAGCAATACAATTTTGAAGGAAAAATATTACCAGAAACAGATTTTTGACAAAACAAAATATTACCAGCAATAAAAAAAAATGTTGTCGGGATTAAATAACCCACTGAGGTTGATATGCCATAAAACAGAATAAACCAAACCAATCTAAACCAATGAATACATATTCTATTCATACGAATCTATCCTAAAAATGTTGTCGGGATTAAATAACCCACTGAGAGTGATATGCCGTAAAACAAATAAACCAATCATACCATTCCCACGGCGGGGAGTGGGGGTGCGCTTAAGTGAATATAATGAAATCAATGGTAATTGGTATTTGGCTCTCTGATTAACAATTCCAAGCCATTATCTATTACACCACCCACACGTCCAAGCAAATTGTACCTGGTATTCCCAGGCGGTCACCCACCTAGTTAATGACCCGGTTGAGCGTTGGTTAACGTAAATCGTCGTACGAAAACCATTGTTTAAATGTGATATGGCCGTATGTCGTTGTCTTGACCAGAAATTATATATTATTGTGCCACGTAATAAAAGAAAAAAACAATTGTTTGATTTCCGGAAGTTCATGTGAGATAATTTTTTAAAGTTTCTTAAATTTTTCCAATTTTTTTTTTTTTATAGCGACGTATTACAATTAACTGATTGCATAAGCAAGTTCGTAAAAACTTCAAAAACACATCTAAGATTTCTCTAATATTGTGCATTAGAAGGCGCTGTGGGCTTTTCCACCAACTTCATCTTCTTTGTTTCTTCTGCAGTTGTGTCTTTTTTTTATTTCTTGCAAGCATAATATACAGCTGTAAAAATATCGACTAAAATGTTTTGATAAAACGCAACGAAAAAATTAAAATAAAAAAAGCAGATGATTGTATTCAGTATTTTCTTTCTCCTAGACTGGTTGCCAGCCATGGCTAGAAAGTCTAGTTTGGTCTGCTATTTAATTCTTACTGAAGGGAACGGTGGATATATATCTTTTCTAAGAGTATTTGCACAAAAATGGACGTAACGAACTCGATCGGAATTCATACTCGAAACGCAATTTCGGTAAGACTATAAACTACACCCGTGTCCTGGGTAAGATTATAAACTACACCCGCATCCTGCGTAAGACGATAAACTATATCCCCATCCTGGGTAAGACGGTAAACTATGTTCGTGTCCTGGGTATGACGATAAAGTACATCCGCATCCTGGGTAAAACGATAAAGTACACCCGCGTCCTGGGTATGAGGATAAATTCCATCCGCGTCCTGGGTAAGACGATAAACTATATCCGCATCCAGCAGCATGAACTATTTAGGGGGTTTCTAAGAGCATGAAACCACCTCTTCATTGCTGATATTCCCAAGTCCACCCTGATCCGGGGTGGTAGTACCTGTTAGGGTCCCAGCTATGGGCAAATAGTTATTCCACAAACAATACCAGAAATACTTTGTAGAAAAAAAATTATTTTTTAAATTATCAGCAATAAAAATTGTCGGTATTAAATAACCCATTGAGGTGTTGATATGCCGTAAAAGAAACCAATGAACCAGTATGCTAAGCATGTGAAACGACATACACTATTAAATATATATTAACCGAGTGTTCAGACTTTTTTCGCTGAAGACAAAAATGCTGTAACAGAAACATGTATGAGAAAGCAAATATGAATGACAGTCATTTCTTAAAACAGTAGTCTTCTACCAAAAATATAAAACAAATGAAAATGTCAATAAACTCAATTTCTCTACAAACTTTATATCTGAAAAGCAGACGTCAATGAAACCAAACTCTCGACAAAAAAAGACTCTTTACAAAAATACACTAATGAAACCTGATCTCTTACAAAGAATATATAAGAATCAATTGTAAAAATCTTGTCGGCATTATATGACCCATTCAGGTGTCGATATTCCATAAAACAAAATAGACCAGACCTCCAAACTGTTAACCGCGACACCACCTATATAGTTGACTATTGAACATTAAATAGGTTTATAATCTATGCGTTTTATCGGCCAGCACACAGATTTAATCTTGGAATCATTTCCGTTTCTTTTATACTTTCTGTGTTTTACCTCTTAACGTTTTTCCTCTCACCCGACGTCATCTCTTGTTAGGGAATATTTGTCTGCATCACTTTTATCACTTTTATTGGTCAAGAGCCGGGGGAATGGAGGATGGAGGTAAAAAGAAGAGCGGCTGAAAGGAGTGGGTTGGGGAGAGGGCTGACAGTGGTATACG